TGGGTAAAATTCTTCTTCGCGTTCGCGACAGACTCGACGCATTCGCGATGAGTTAGGTCCACAGACCTTCACGTTTGCGTAATGGCTCTCGCATTCACGGAGATTAATCTCCTCGAACCTCGCGTTCGCGTGCCAAGGGCCGCGTTCGCGTTGAACAAACTGGTGGCCCCTCCCCCTGCACCCTACGCGTTCGCGAGTGGAAGGACGCATTCGCGAAGGGTCTCCCCCCTGAGCTTCGCGTTCGCATTTCATCCTCCACGTTCGCGAAGAAGCCAAAATGGTACCAGGGATCTTTGCCTTACGCGTTCGCGAGAAGGACCACGCGAACGCGATGTGTCAAATCCCTGGGCACTAACAGCAGAAAACCTGTAACATTTCATAAGCCAAAAATCATTCCGAAACACCTCCGAAACACTCCCGACTCCTAAATAAACACATGCACTAACTCAACAACATCATACGAACTTATCTGTGCTATCAAATCGCCTAATAACCTCAAAAATAATGAATCAAACCTCAAAACCAAGGATTTTTTCCAAAATTTCATAAAACATCAACTTTAGCAATTTAGGTCCGAATCACGTCAAACGGACTCCGTTTTCAACCAAATTTTGCAGAAATGACTTAAACCATATATAAGACCTGCATCGGGCATCGAAACCAAAATACAGTCATGATACCAACATGTTCTAATCAAAATTCATTTCAAAATTCCTTAAACATTTTCAGAAAACAATTTTACTTAAAAATTTATTTCTCGGGTTTGGGACCTCGGAATTCGATTTCAGGCATACGCCCACGTCTCATATTTTTCTACGGACCCTACGGGACCGTCAAATCACGGGTCTGGGTTTGTTTACCCAAAATGTTGACCGAAGTCAAATTTACTCATTTTATAATCAACACTTAGCATTTTTCAAAGAATTTCATATTTAAGCTTTCCGGCCACGTGCCCGGACTGCGCACGTAAATCGAGGCGACCCTAAATGAGGTTTTCAAGGCCTTGGAAGAATAGAATGAAATTAAAAACAAGTGATGACCCTTTGGATCGTCACATCAAAATCTCACCTATCAACCGGAAAACGCCAAAATTCTAATTTCGCTAATTCAACCCTAAATCTACTCCGAACAACCAAACCACACATTTCGATCACGCTCCAAAGTACCAAATCACCTCCCGAAGCTATCCGAACCATCAAAACTCGCATCCGAGCCCTTTAACACATAAGTCAACATCCGGATGACTTTTCCAACTTAAACTTCCTCAAAAGAGACTAAGTGTCTCAAACCTTACCAAATCCTCTCCGAACCCGAACCAACCAACCCGATCACACATAGAACCGATAAATAAAGCAATAAGAAGTATAAATGGGGGAAACAAAGTGGTAACTCATGAAACGATCAACCGAGTTGTTACAATGTCCTCAACTTTTGAAGTTGAAAGTCTAAGTTCAGGACCATATGTGCTTTACTTTTGAACTTGAAACTTGAAGTTCAGGACCAAGTGTCTTAACTTTTCAACTTAAAACTTGAAGTTCAGGACCAAGTGTCCTTAACATTTCAAATTGAAGCTCAAACTTCAGGACCAAGTGTCCTTAACTTTTGAACTTAAAAGTCTAAATTCAGGACCTAGTGTTCTCAACTTTTGAAGTTGGAACTATAAGTTAAGGATTGCCTGTCCTTAACTTTTATACTTGTTAGTCTAAGTTCAGGACCATGTGTCCTTAACTTTTGAACTTAAAAGTCTAAATTCAGGACCTAGTGTTCTCAACTTTTGAAGTTGGAACTATAAGTTAAGGATTGCCTGTCCTTAACTTTTATACTTGTTAGTCTAAGTTCAGGACCATGTGTCCTTAACTTTTGAACTTGAAACTCAAACTTTAGTACCAAGTGTCCTTAACTTTTGAACTTGAAACTTAAACTTCAGGACCAAGTGTCCTTAACTTTTGAACTTGAAACTTAAACTTCAGGACCAAGTGTCCTTAACTTTTCAACTTGAAAGACTAAGTTCAGGACTAGATGTCCTTAATTAGGAAATAAGGATTAACTTCTAACTTTGATATTTTCAAAATTTTCAGGGGACAAACTGATATATATGCTGATAATAATGGTGTGAGAAAGAATCCATGCAAATTATATCATCAAAAAATTAGTAGCAAAATGTTCTTCCTTGAGCTTTCAGATAGTAGCTTTGTACTTGATGATAAGGTTTGATAATTCGCAAGGTGTTTATTTTCTTTATTCTTAATTTATTATTTTTTAATTATTTTATGACTGATGGATTTATTTTATTTTTTGCCTTTTTATGAAGCATATTGACATTACACTATATTATCTGAGAAAAAAGGAATGCTACCACCCTCGCGATCATGCTCTTCGTTGCACAACTACAAATATACTTTTTGATAACTATATGGTGCTTGTGTATAAGGATTTCAATGAAGATGCTATAGATGAGTTTTGGTGTGGTGATAATCAATTGTTTCTGATACCATATGTGTGGGGTGACAGTCGTAGATGTAATTACTTGGACTGAGTTGACAAAATCTTTTTTCCATGTCGGCTTCCTTCAGAAAGTAATGATGTTGTGACACATTTTATTTTGGGGTTATTGGACTTGAATGAGAAAAAGATTGATGTGTATGATTCTATATATAGTGAGCCATATGAGGCAGGAATGAATCACATTGAAATGTATGCACGCATGCTCCACCACTTTCTAAGTTCTCACAGTTTGAGAAACATCACAAGTCTTTTGGAAATGCATTCAACAAATTTGATATTCAGTGTCAAAGATCATCACACCAAACTGGATCGTACGTGTTGTTATTTGTTATATAATTTATATGTACTTTAGATTTATTGTTTAATTGACTCTGTATCTTACATTTTTCTTAGGACTAATTGTGGTGCATTCAAGTATGTGGAGTTGTTGATGATGGGAAAAGATGTGGAGAAATTCCAACCTGAAGACTTTAGAAAAGAACTTGCAACAAAACTTTGGGAACATGGAGAGTGAAAAAGAAATTCTGGTTATGATACACCACCAGAAAATATTGGCGACGACTATGATAGTGAAAATAAAACTTGTTGTCCGAAGGAGCTCTAGTTTAGTTGTAAAGAAAGTTGTAGTTGTTTTTTGTATAAAATTGCTGTAAGGAATCCATATGAATTCTGAAATATCTTGTAAATTCCTCAAAAGGAACTTTTATTTTGTTTGCATAGCATAATATTTTGTCACAGCTATGCAAAATTATAATTTCAGAAGTAATATGAAGGCATCATGTTATTAATTTCTTTGTTTCTGTCAAGTATTGATTTGTCCATTTACAATCCCTAAATTAAGTGTATTGAGCTTGTAAGTATTAGTTCAGGACCAAGTGTAATTGAACTTCAAATTCAAAGTTAAGGACCAAGTATCCTTAACTTTTGAACTTGTAAGTCAAAATTCAGGAGCATGTGTCCTTAACTTTTGAACTTGAAACTGAAACTTCAGGACCAAGTATCCTTAACTTTTGAACTTGAAACTGAAACTTCAGGACCAAGTATCTTTAACTTCTAAACTTGAAGCTCAAACTTTAGGACTAAGTGTCCGTAACTTTTGAACTTGAAAGTCTAAGTTCAGGACCATGTGTCCTCAACTTTTGAAATTGAATCCTTAACTTTTGAACTTGGAACTCAAACTTCAGGACCAAGTGTCTTTATTTTTTTGTACTTGGAACTGTAAATTAAGGACCAAGTATCCTTAACTTTTCAACTTGTAAGTCAAAGTTAACTGTAAGTTAAGGACCAAGTGTCCTAAACTTTTCAACTTGTAAGTCAAAGTTAAGGACTGCATGTCCTTAACTTTTGAACTTTGAACTCAAACTTAAGGACTGCCTATTTTTAACTTTTGAAATTGTAAGTTAAAGTTAAGGACTGCTTGTCCTTAACTTTTGAACTTTGAACTGTAACTTAAGGACTGTCTGTCCTTAACTTTTGAACATGTAAGTCAAAGTTAAGGACTGTCTGTCCTTAACTTTTTAACTTGGAACTCAAACTTAAGTACTGCCTATCCTTTAACTTTTGAACCTATAAGTCAAAATTAAGGACTGCCTGTCCTTAACTTTTGAACCTGTAAGTCAAAGTTAAGGACTGCCTGTCCTTAACTTTTGAACCTGTAAGTCAAAGTTAAGGACTGCCTGTCCTTAACTTTTGAAATTTGAACTCAAACTTAAGGACTGTCAGCCCTTAACTTTTGAACTTGTAAGTCAAAGTAAAATAAACAAAAAGAACATAAGTAGAAAGAAATTTTGAAAATTCAGACTGCTCAAATAAGAATAATCTAAATGAATCCAATTTATAGCAAAAACTTAAAAGTGTCGATAAACATAAGTGGATATATCTACTATTCTCTATGCTTCATTGAAAATGGATGGACTGTTGGAGAATATATACAAGTTGTTCTATTATGACCAATTCTTCTACAACGACCACATTTGAATGTTATTTTTGATGACTCGATAGCTGGAATATGCCTTTTCTTCTGCCTTGTACCTGGTGGCACTTTGAAATCTGGAGGTTTAACAATTTGTGACTTGACACTCTCTAGTACAATCCAAGAATCAGTATGTCCTACAGGATATATTTGTCTTTCATATGTTTTCAGCCAAGATTCCTTTAAGTACTAGTGTGAGCAAAAGTTGGACTTCTTGACGTTTCTCTTCTCGATAGCTGCAATTGCATGTATGCGTGGTAATTCATCAAATTGAAACTGAAAACAATCACATGTTCTTTTGTTTAAGTCCACCAAGAAAGTTATTCCTTCTTCAATTCTAGAACGCCATGAATCAACAGGGAAGACCTTCAATGTTGAAAAAGTATAAGTTAGTACATTATGTTAAATAATATAGAACATAATACTTACATTCAAAGTAAATGCTAAATCTATCTTTTTCTTCAATTCCTCTTCTACCCAACAAGAAACGTCATAAAAAATTCCTTCTGCTTCATTTCTTCTTTCATAAAACCAACGTTGTAGCTTCACTTAAATCAAAATCCATCATTCTTAATATAGGAAACTCCCTTGCTTCTAATAGGACATAATTCATTGGCTCAACTATGTTTGTTGTGAGCATGTCGTATCTTCGTCGTGGACTACAAGAACGTGCCCACCTTTCCGGTGGTTCTTCCATCAAGTAGTCATAAGTCTTCTTATCTACTTTTGTTATATCTGACATGTAAAGATCAAATTCTTTGCGCCTGTATACTCTTGCACCACTTTGAAAAAGTTTTATGACCTCATTTTTCACTTTCCTTCGCTTTAGGTTTTGCTCCAAATGATAGATACAGATCCAATGGTGGCTTTCAGGATATACCTTTGCAATGGAATATGCAATAGATTGATGCCTGTCTGATAAAAAAATTAAATTCTCACGACTCTCAATTGCATTGCGAAGCTCACTAAAGTACCACTCATAGGAATTGTTATTTTCAGATTTTGCTATTCCAAAAACTAGTGGGAAAGTTTGGTTATTTGCATCCTTTGAAACTGAAATCATTAAAACACCACAAACTTTTGACTTCAAAAAAGTTGCATCAACAGCAATCACTGGTCTACAATGATTCCAACCAGATATTAATGATCCATATGCATAAAACATATAAAGAAACCTGAAAATACAGTATAAAATAAAGTTAACAGAAGTTAAGGATAGGCAATCCTTAACTTAGACTAACAAGGTCAAAAGTTAAGGACAAGTAGTCCTGAACTTCAGGTTACAAGGCTAAAAGTTAAGAACAAGTAGTCCTAAAGTTAGACTAACAAGGTCAAAATTTAAGGACAGACAGTCCTTAACTTAGAGTTACAAGTTATAAAGTTAAGGACATGCAGTCCTTAACTTTGAGTTCAAAGTTCAAAAGTTAAGGATAGTCAATCCTTAACTTTAACTTACAAGTTCAAAAGTTAAGGACAGACAGTCCTGCACTTCAGGTTACAAGCTCAAAAGTTAAGGACAGGTAGTCTTGAAGTTAGACTAACAAGGTCAAAAGTTAAGGACATGTAGTCCTTAACTTAGAGTGACGAGTTATAAAGTTAAGGACATGCAGTCCGTAACTTGGGTTTACAAGATAAATGTTAAGGACATGGAGTCCTTAACTTAGACTAACAAGGTCAAAAGTTAAGGTCACCATGTCCTTAATTTTATAACTTGCAATTCTAAGTTAATGACCAAGTGTCCTTAACTTTTTGACTGCACACATGAAAGTTAAGGATAACACGTCCTTAACTTTTTAACTGGTTAAAGACATCATGTCCTAGAGTTTATAAAAGAGACTAATAAATTCTTTTTTGATTGTTTACCTGTTGTTGTCGTCTATCATTATGTCAGTATATGTTCCCGGGTTTTTACTTCTCATCATATACAAGTATGAAGACAATAATTCATAATTCTCTTCAGGAGTTCCTCTTATTAAAGCAGAAACACGTTGAATAGCACGCCACGCCTTGTGATACCCAATGTCTAATCCATGCAATTTTTGCATTTCTGCCATGACAAAAGCTGGTGTAACTTCAAACCTTAAGTCTCGAAGATTGTCGATAATATAAACACTAATCAACTTTGAAGTTGCATGCCTTTGATCAACTTTCATAGTGTTAACAGAGCAGTCATGATTTTTCTCAATCTTTACTATCTTGAACAGTGTTGAATCTTTAATTCTGAAAGCACGCACACACCACCCACACCTATCATCATTACATTTCAATGAATATCTTATTGACCTTGATCTAACAACCTTGAATTCAAAATGTTCTTTAATTGCTATATTCGAAAAATAGTTAATTATACTCTTCTTTTTGTCAAATATTGATCCACTTTTATTTCATCCAACGAAGCATTTTCTCTTAATATCGTAGTTGGGGATTCTTTTTGTTTCAAATTTGACCTTCGTCTAGTTAGTTGAGTAAAGGTTTTTTCAACAACTTCTTCGATTACCGGTGCACTCTGTAAGACTTGAATACCCAAAGCTTGTTCGTTGCCAATCTCTATAATACTTTGTCCTTCTACTTGAATAGAATCAAATGTTTCAAGCACCTCTTCAGTTATTGGTTGGGCTTCAACCATATCTATTTCCAATATCTGTTGGCATTTATTTTGATTATCATGTTGAGTTTTTCTGTTGACATGTTAAAAGGTGCTTGTTGATCCAAAAACTCTTTCCAAAATATCAACAATGAAACGACAACCCTTGAAGAGTGAATGACTTTTTAGTAACTCTATACATGTGTGAAGATCTAAATCTTTGGATACAAGCATTCCCTTGCTTGTTCCAAGGCTGATATCAAACCATACCACTGCCTTAAACTTGTCTCTATCCAATTCAATAACTTCAAAGATCTGTTTAATGAAATCTTCAAACCGAATTGCCTCAGTTACTAGAACAAGCTTTGTTTGATGATCAAGATACTTATAGTCTTCAGTCCATCTACCATTAAAAGAAACTATAATGCATATTATTTCTATCCTGCAAGTCAAGAGAATGGGAAACTCAAGACATAATTATAGAGCAATCCTTGTATAATTAAGAACAGGTACTGTAAGTTCAAGACCAAGTTAAGGACCAAGTGTCCTTAACTTTTGAACTTGGAATTCAAAGTTAAGGACCAAGTGTTCTTAACTTTTGAACTTGAAACTTGAAGTTAAGGACGACCTGTCCTTAACTTTTTAACTTGTAACTCTAAGTTAAGGACCAAGTGTTCTTAAGTTATGAACTTGGAACTGTAAGTAAAGGACCAAAAGCCCTTAACTTTTGAACTTGGAAATAAAAGTTCAGGACCAAGTGTCCTTAACTTTTGAACTTGGAATTCAAAGTTAAGGACCAAGTGTTCTTAACTTTTGAACTTGAAACTTGAAGTTAAGGACGACCTGTCCTTAACTTTTTAACTTGTAACTCTAAGTTAAGGACCAAGTGTCCTTAACTTTTGAACATGTAAGTCAAAGTTCAGGACCAAGTGTCATTAACTTTTCAACTTGAAACTCAAACTTCAGGACCAAGTGTCCTTAACTTTTCAACTTGAAACTCAATCTTCAGGACCAAGTGTCCTTAACTTTTTCAAAACAATTTGCAAAACTATGACAGTATGTCCTTAATATTCAAAAGAATAGTAAAAAAGTTAAGGACATTGTGTCCTTAACTTTTTCAATTCAATTTGCAAAATCAGGACACTATGTCCTTAATATTAGTAACAACGGTCATGTTAAGGACACCAAATTCTTAACATTATGTGCTCAATTTTTATAGAATTATCACAAGATGCGATGTCCTTAACCTTATCAATCCAGAAATTCAAAAAAAAATCAAATTCCTAGTGACGAAATAAAAATCAATAGAAACACACAAAAGCATAACTTACTGTACATTTATGTCGATTTTTGGACGAGAAAGTTGAATTCTATAGTTTCAAATCGGAAGAGAAGCTTCTGCAATTCTATAGTTTGAAATTCGACGATCATAGCCTCTGCTGCTGCTGAAGTTAGTTACGTGTTGCTGCTGCTGATCGTTAATAAAAGCGTAGGTATAAGTTATAGCAGAAGGGTATTTTCGTTCAGTCAGGTAAAAGTTTATTAAACCAGTGGTTAAAGACTAAAGACATTTAAAACGTTGGCTTTATTTAAAGTAAAGACATGTGCTCTTAATGGCTATTTGTGCACATCGCCCATGATTTGTCATGGGAAAAATACAAAAGTGGCCAGTCGGCTTAAATTAATTGTATTTGCTAACCAAATATTCATATGAAAAATATATATTATATGTGTATAATACACATAGATACAAAATATATATTTTCAGCTATTATTTTTTGAAGCCACAAAAAATATACATTTATCAATTTGTCACTACGTCCTGCTAAGCAACGGTTGTTGACTTGTAGTTTATTAACGTATTGTGCCATCTATATATACGAATTAACATGGACTGATGGACTCATTTACTAATACATATGAATTCTATAGCTTCCAGTTATAGCTATACCTGGTCTTAGAGAATAGAGAGAACTAAAATGAAACTACTTTGGAGATTCCTTTGGATGTATTATCAAATTACAATATGTGATCGATCGATCGTTATTCAGATCATAGCCACTTCAGACAAACAAACTAATTTGGATAAGGCAAAGACTATGACCACTTCAAGCAAATTAAACAACAAATTAAAAGAGTAGAGTCTCCATTGTTCTACTTAGCCACTTCATGTGTAGTTGCAGTCATCTTCAAGGGGAAATTTTGGTGAGCATTACCAAGTGGACAGAAGGCAATCTTATAGTTGGTTTTTCCACTTGGGCAATCAAACATGAATTCAGAACTATCTTCATCTGGGGAGCTATGAGCTTCAGGGCATTTTTCTTTGAAAAATTTGAAGTATTTTTCTGTAGAATAGGTATTACAACGTCCATCTGGTGTTTTGTAAACATCACAAGGATTATTACATCCTCCAGTAACCTTAAGGTCATCAGGACACTCACTGTTAATATTAGCCGTGCATGAAATTGCATGGCATTTCCCGCCGCTAGTAACAACGGTTGGGGTGAAACTTATTGGAATATTGAATCCATCCTCTAAAGAAATGTAAAAAAGATCTAAGTCGTTGCGGTTGTCCAATGCGAATCGTATCAAGGTGTTTGGTTTTTTACCCCACCCTGTGCAATTCAGGACTCCATCACAGTCACCGGTTTGGCACGAACCCTTACCCGAACTATCAAAGGTACAATCAGTACGACCCCATATACGTCCTATGGCGTGAGGTGGTTCTCTAATGGTCCAAGTTTGGCCTTGATCGAGACGTCGACCACCGCCTATGTCGGCTGCTGCCGCCCAGACTGTGTACGGACAGTTGTTTCTGATCTCAATATCAGTGGTGTGTTCATCAGCATAAGCAAAAGTCAAGATGGCTAGGAGGGAGAACACAACAAAAGTTGTTAAGTAGCCCATGTTGAAGGAAATTTCAAAGTAAGATTGGTTTTTGGATATTGCTTTACATATACGGGTTTATATAGGGTATGCCAAAGCTTTTTGGCACCACGAAAATTAATCATATATTATACTAGCTGATAAATCAATTAATAAGCTTCAAAGATGTTAAGGGCCTAACAATTATTTTATGATCATAGACGTCAATTTATTTGATAATATACGTGCAAACTTGTATTGTGAATATCTCCACATATTTGAAAAGCCACCAATATTTTAATCAGAAATCAGAAACAGCCTGCAAGCAATTAATATATTTTCACCGTTGACAATTTCCTGTTTTATTTTATTTATTAGTGATTTCTTATTTCAAAGTTCAAACATTTCAATTTCAATGATAACACTGGCGAGTATAAACAACTTACGGAGTACGTACTATTTTTTAAATTAGTGCTTAATATAGTGGATGGTTAAAATTTAAAATTATAGAGATATTTGAAAAAATAAAAAAGCAAAGTCCACTCCGTAGAGGATTGGCCATATGGTTTTTTTAGGAGTAACATATATCTTCTTTATTACTCACTTTTTAAAGAAAAAAGAGGAGATAGAAGAGTGGCTTGCGGTATTTTTCTTCTTAATTTATATCCCACGGGCATAGCATTTGTTGTATATTCTAGTTATATATTTGTGGTTATCCTCTTCATTTATGTTCCACGTGTGGTATTTTTCTTCTTAATTTATATGCCACGAGTTTAGCAAGTATTGTATATTCTAGTTATGTATTGGTGCTTTTCTTCTTTATTTTATGTCCCACGACCTTATCACATATACTAATCTAGTTGAGTATTTGCTACACTTGTATTTCACGCAATTAAGTAGGCTAATGGCAGAGGAGTTGCAACGAACACTACTAAAAAAATCAGGAAAACCGAGCGCCAAATCCGACCGATGTTGGTCGGTAATTGTTAAAAATCAATTGAAAATTGATCGATTCGTGGCGGTCGATAGAGCTAACCGACCGATCATGATCGGTATTTTTCGACCGATTTCGGTCACTCAATTAAATTCCAAAAAAGAAAAAATTGCCAAAAAAATCGACCGAAGTCGGTCGGTATTTTAATTATGTAATTAAAAAATACACCATTTGAGAATCGAACCGGAGTCTGTACTATGGCAGGATACTACTCTACTACTAGATCATTGATGCATTTTATTTTAAGACTGTCTTTTATTTCATTTATACTCTTTAATTGTATTTTTGTGCGAAAATAACCAACAAATGTCGGTCGGTTTTATTAAAAAAATAAAATTACCGACCGAATCCGGTCAATTTTTTAAAATGACAGGCCGAATTAACCGACCGATTTTTGGTCATTTTTTTAATATTAATTTTTATTTATTTTAAATTAAGAACCAACCAAAGTTGGTTGGTTTCTTGAAAAAAAAATTCGCAGGATGCAAACATAGTTTCCTGCATTTTTGCGCCAAAGAAAACCAATCAAACTTGGTCGGTTTCGTAAAAAATAAAATATTTTGAAAGGCCGATCGTCTTCGGTTGGTTTTTTGGCTTACCGAAATCGGTCAACGATCGCGATCGATTTTAACGAATTTCTAGTAGTGGAATAGCAAAAAAGAAGAAGGAGAAGAAGAAAAACTCATTTGGTGCACAAAGTAGTTGTACATAAATTAATATATTATGAATAATAATACATGAAAGTTTTATGCAGCAACTAATAGTAATACATAAAATATTATTCTCTAAATTGCGAGAAAAATAAAAACTAACATAATCCTGGAATTGTTTTAAAAAAAAATCAAGAATCTAAGGGATTGATACATAATCTGCCCGCGATCCCATAGTGGGTGATCACCCTCACATGTGAGAATTCCAATCAATAGACTCTTTCTCAAGTAGCAAAAGGAAAGAAAAAAAGTTCTAGCACGTCTCTGCATTTTAATAAAATTCATTAATTATCCGGATTATTTTAATTCTATAAAATTTCTTGACTTAAAAAAAACACCAAAATTGGATAGTGACTTATAGGGGTGTTCATAAAAATCCGAAAATCCGAACCAAACTGAAAACCAAACCAAACCGATCAAAAAAACCGATACTTTTTGGTTTGGTTTTGGTTTTGAAATTTAAAAATCGATCAAATTTGGTTTGGTTTTGGTTTTAATTAAAAAAAACCGAACTAAACCGAATATAGGAGTAACTATTTTAAACTTATTATTACACCTATATATATGTATACTTTTATACAAAGTTTTAAAATTTTTATAGTAAATATTAATTGTTTGCACTTTTAGTACAATCCTTTACCTTTACATTCTAGTTTAATTAATAATTTTCTTTTGTTAAATGTAAGAATCTATTTCATGTTAAAAATAATATATTTTTAATTGAGCCCTTAAATTATTCATCACNATCTTATATTTAAGAATAAATCGACAAATAACCGAAAAAACCGACATAAACCGAATCGAGAAAAAACCGACTTAATTGGTTTGGTTCGATTCTAATATTGAAAATTCTATTTACTTCGTTTGGTTTCTTTTTAGGGAAAAACTGATCCAAACCGAACCATGAACACCCCTAGTGACTTATGACTTAATTTGACAGCTACTCTTTAATTCTTTACACAATCTCAAATTCTAGGCCCAATATAGGCATAGTTGACTATGGGTTGTAGCTCAATAGTTTGTCACTATTCTTTAAATAGTAAAAATAGCACGGGCTAGCCAGTTTTGGGACTGGTCATTCAAAAATAGCCATCATTTGTAAAGTCATTGAAAAATAGCCACTATTTTGCTGCAACACGAAAAGTTCCATCATAATATATTGGAGATCGGTGCACTTGTGTATGAACTTCCAGCATATTATGCTGGAACTCCAACAAACGGAAAGTTCCAGCATAATATACTGGAGATTGGAGCACCTGTGTATAAACTTCCAATATATTATGCTGGACCAGTATATTAGACTGGAACTGCAGTATATTATTTTGGAAGTCCAGTATATTATGCTGGAAGTTCCATTATATTATACTGGAAGTTCTAGTATACTTATGTTGGAACTCCAGTATATGATACTGGAATTTCAATAATTATAATGGAGTATTTTTCAGATTTTGAATAGTATTTTCGTTCAGATTTATCTTTACATGAAAAGTGGCTAAATTTCGATTGCTTTTGAAACTGTGGCTATTTTTGAATGACCACTTGTAAATCTGGATATTTTTGAATTTCTCCCCTTTAAATACCATCAATTGTATACTGTATTTAAAGCAATAACTGTATACAGGTTCAAGAGATATTCTTTAAATACCGTCAATTTTAAGGACATTCGGCTAAGATTAGCCCTTTACGGGGCCTGTTGATACCCAATTTCTCTCATATTTTTAATATACACACGCACACACACACACACACACACACACACATAATTTCAAAATAGTATATTTGCGTCATCATTTAGCTTATAAACTTATACAAGCATTTTTCATAATTTTTAAATGCTTTAAATTAATTTCTTTCTGCATTTTTATTGTATAAATATTCAATAATTATCCTTCAAATTATTTTTATGATCCAATATTATTATTTACACCAACATGCATATTTTTAAATATTTTACTTCATTTTTTCATAATTACATTTGCATGTTTAGGCTAATTGCACATTTTTGCAATAAAAGTTTATATTCATGTATAATTACGTTATTTATGAAAAAAATAATTTTTTATATTTTTATAATGTTAAGTTATTATTTTTATTATTTTAGTGCATAAATAATATTTTTATTATTTATTAATTACTTTTATAAATTATTATTTGCTAAAATATTGGGTATTTAAAAACCAGCCTAAATTCCTAAACATTTTTGGACCAAGCAATGGCCCAAAACACCTAATAACTAGCCCAAATGATCCCAGTCCAAAACCAATGACCCACTATATCCCAACCCGGTCACAACCCACCTAAATAAACCCGACCTAACCCCCTTTTATCGTGGCCGTTGATCTCTGAGATTAGCGACCCACATCTATTCCCTCCCTTTTAATTACTTACCCAGAAACCCTAGCCCATAATACCTCTAACCCGTCGCCCCTAAATCCCCTCATCTCCCTCTCTCTGTATGAAGAACCCTAGCCGCCGCCCCCTAAATCTTCTCCTAATCCCATTGATAACGGGATTTTACCATTAGTTGCTTACTTTATTTGGGTTCTTTTGGTACTGGTCACTCGATTTTGGTATTACTTAGGTATTTGCCTAATTTTGGCAAATACCACCTCTATATCGGACGAGGATCGACTCAATCTTGAATATTTGTGTGATATTCCGTCCATATACGCAAGATGAACTGGATCCTTCATACCAGTTGTCCGATTTCGAGTTTAAAACCCTAACTAAGGTTTGGAGTTTGACACTTTTCCTTTTCTATTGTTTTACCGACTTGCATGCGAGATTCCTCCCTTTTCTTTGTATGTGTTTACTTGATTTCTTTCCTTACCTGTGTTTAATCAATTATTTTCCTTATTTGTGCATTCAATTTTACTATTATATAAACCCCTCCTCATTCTTTTTTAAGACAAACTTGAATTGTTAAAACGTTTACTAAAAATTGAAGTTATTACTCTTTGTTCTCTAATTATTTTGTTCTATACTCTGGTTCTTAGCCGGCTGAAAGTCAAGGCCACTGAAATTCTAGGTTCTTGCTCTTCGTTGATATTCAGAATACTGTGGACTTTTGTTCTTTCTTGTTTTTTTGCTTAACTGGTGAGTTACTGGACTTCATAGTTTCATTCCTATGTATCTATGATTAGCATATGTTTTCACTCCTGAAGTTTTCTTAATGTGTTCTTCTGGGTTGTTCCGTTTGTTCTACTTCAATTTTGGCTCTCCTTAACTCTTTGCTTCATATTGATAGTTTAAAGCATGTCTAGACCTGATTTGAGTAAATTAGATTCCTTTAAAGCTTATCTAGCCTATGTGTTGCAACTTACGGATGTTTAGGACCTTTGCATTTTAGC